GCAGAGTGCCCAAGTGTGTGGGAGGGAGTGTGGCTTCAGTCTTGTTCAGAGTCTGTTCCGTTTGGGGCCAAAGGAATAACTGGGAAGGTGGATGAGAGGCCAGAGAAACCTACGTTGGAACTCTACTCGCATGCTGCCTCTGTCACTCCAGCGTCTGAAAGGAGTAAATAATGGTTTCCTTTGAAACGGCAGGCAATTAGGACAGGGAGGCTCTGACCAGAATTACATAGCCACAACTGCCTGTCATTTGACATCCTCTGTAATTTGGGCCAACGTACCGCAGCTGCCTGTCTTCCCCACTGCTACTGTGAGAGGCTCCAGTGACAGCACATTCGTGTTCACAGGAAGGGAAGGCTGTGTTCTGAACCCTGCCCAACTGGCGCTGCTTCTCCTTTGGGCAATGGCTCTATCTGGAGCCATTGCCTCTTCAATGCAGTGGAGGATGTAATTCCACAATTATAGAACGGGAATGTTGACTGAGAACATGGATGAAGTGCGTTGTAAATCTAGCCTTGTGTTCATCCTATACCAGGCTGGATATGAGTCACTTTCAGGGAACTCAGCTTGGTGAGGTGCTCTGGCCGTGGTAGCTTTTCCTCTGCACACTGGACCACACACGTTTTCCTGTATCTTTTCCCTAGGATAAAGGCTCGCTGATGGCTCAGTTGGGAGCAATTGTGGCAGTGGCTTCCAGTTTCTTTTGTGCATCTCTCTTCTCAGCTGTGCACAAGATAGAAGAGGGACATATTGGGGTGTATTACAGGTAAGGCAGAGACAGGTAGAAACTTGCAACTTCCCGCTAAATGACTCCCTTTCCCTCTGGCAGTCTTGGTTCCACACTAGGAACCTTTTGTAGGTTGCCTCTACAAAAGCCAGCTGAGTCCCAGTTCTTGATGACAATTTGAAAAGATAACCTATTCCGCTAATTTGGGATACTCTTTTCAGATGAACAATTCAGGAAAAATGAAAGAGCCTGCAGATTGATTTATGGCAATCAAGGCAAGTCTTATGACAGAGGTTCCTACAATAAAGTAGCTCATTATATCAGTTTATTTTATTGCTTGTTTTTTTAAAAAAAATTCTTTGACTTCATAGTATAAAGCAAAAGAGCACTTGTAAATCTTGGGTTGCTTTCCTTTTAGTAACCTCTATGACCATGTTTTTTGCTTTAAGTCTTTATGAATCCCTTCTTATATGTGCCCTATGACGCTTACCTCTGGATTGCTGAAAACAAGTTCTAAAACTCTCATTGAGTTTCCCCTCTATTTCTCCCTACCATCTCCTTCTGTGTTCTTGAAAAAGGCTTTTGTCATTTACATACAACTTGATTAGAAAGGTAACCGTACTGCCAAATATATGTATATATTTTTTTAAATGACTTATATACTTAAAATTATTCTGGCAGGTCATGTCACTGGACTCCAACATTAGTACAGTTAATTGATGACCATATTCTGTATTTAACTGCCCTAATGCATTGCCACAAGCTCAACAGACATGACAAGTAAAACAAATTTCCTCTCTTTTCTAAGTACAGTCAGAGATTCTGCTGTCTTTATGCCACTTAGCCTGCGTGCCTATTTTTCCCATTGCCAAAGCATAAATAATGGTTTATGTTTTACCATCAGCCTTCCTAGAATATTAAGGTCGAGCCGAGAGGACGAAAGGGATCTGCGGACATGGCCCTGGCACATGTCACTCTCTATTAAATGTTTATAGGGCCGAAAAGAAAGTTGGCCCACATGGTATTGATGGAATAGATCCCTGTTGCTAAGCCGAACCTGCCCCTCTCTCCCTCCTCTGCAGAGGTGGTGCCCTGCTGACGTCAACCAGCGGCCCTGGTTTCCATCTCATGCTCCCTTTCATCACGTCATATAAGTCTGTGCAGGTAAACTTGGCTGTGTGCTATGGTTGGATGACTGCAAATTTGGGCTATTGACTTGTGCATTATTTGAAATTACGTAGCCTTTTTGGATGAGTAAAATGCGTTTTCAGAGAATGATTTAAGGATACGTGTACGTGTGTATACACACACATGTACACACACGCATAAAAGCCAGAGAAGACTCTCTTCCGAATGTATAGAAGGAAAAGGTGGGTGTGTGTGTGTGTGTGTGTGTGTTTTAAATCACAGGCTACCATGACAAATGTAAAAAAAAATGGTAATTTTGCTGATCCTTATTTGAACTTCAGAAATGAGACTATAATTTTTATGGGGGTGGGGGAGTTGAACTGTGTATGGTGAAGTGACATCTAAAATAGGAGTGGGATCGCTTGTGACAAAGCTAAAGCCCGACTAAGTTAGACAGAGATGGCCATCTCTGAAGTATCTCTAGCTAAGAAGAAGAAGATTTTCAGAATGACCTTTAAACTAACCCTGTAAGTTTCTTCTGCTATTTACCATGCTTTATGGCTTTCAAAGTGCATTCAGGTACATTGTCTCATTTGAGTCTCAGTAATCCTGAGACTGAGCAAAGCAGGTGTTACCGTCTGAGACGCGTTAAATAAGGAACCTGCTGTTGCAAAACCAGTACAGTGCACTCGTGTTCATAGTTTCACTTTCCACTGATTCCGTAACCTGTGGTTAACCACAGTCTGAAAATAGGTGAGTACGGTACAGTAAGATGTTTTGAGAGAGA